ACTAAGTCAAGAAACATCAGAGATAAACATGCTGTTATGAGGTGGAGGCAGGAACACCGTCCACCCTGATGGAGACTCCAGAGAAATGAGAAAAACTCCACTAGTGCTGTTTGTTGTTAGGAGCTGCAGCTGAAGCCGTTCGGCTGCAGGTTGGACGTCCATATATCAGTCTGCATGCCGGCCATGCAGACACACACACACACACACACTCACACACACACACACACAAACACACACACACAAACACACACACACACTACAGGCCTGATATAGCACATAGAGATCTGAGTACATGTCGCTCTGCTGCCCTGCAGACTCTTCATCAAACTGACAGTGAGTGTTACAGTGTTTTTGAATTCCCCCTAATGGATCGAGTGGCACACACACACACACACACACACACACACACACACACACACAGTCACACACTCACAGAACACTTTATTAGCGTCCTGCCGGCCTTGTGACCGACTGGCTTGTTTTGAAACCTGAGCGCCGACACACATTTCCATCACATCAGTTTTGCAATCGCTCCTGTTTACTGCATCAACACACACACACACACACACACACACACAAGCAGCATGCATGTAAACAAACAAGCACAAATGCATGAGGTACTGATGTGCGCTTCCTTGTCCAGAGTGTTGCAGGAAGTAAACAGGAACAGTGTGTATTAAAGGAGCTGACCGTATGAACGTGTCCTCATGCCAGCGGTCAGCACCGCATCTACATAAACACCTCTGTGTGATTGGCTGTGTTAGCAGAGAGTCACATGTAATTAAGAGTTGTGTAATGCTGCTGTGTTGTGAGAACCGGCTCCATAGTGTAGCGGTCATCACGTCTGCTTTACACACTGAAGGTCCTGGGATCAGAACCCAGTGGAACCAGTACTTTATGTCCGTTTACCTCTGCTTCGAGGGCACCCAAGAGCCGTCCTCACCGAGCTCAGATTAACAAGGCATTGTCCTCACTGTGTTGGGTGAGATGAGGTCGGAGCCATATCAGAGCTGGACGTGTTCACGTGAGTGGGCCACGGGTATGAAGTTATTAACAACACAGTCCAGCTGTTCAGTGACGTCTGCTCGGTGTAGATCCTTTCTTAGGTTTAGAAAGTCCTCCAAGCCACTCTAACCTTGACCCAAAACTTTCAGCCCTGTAAAACAAGTCCAGTTGGGCTGGTTGATGGTTCCGTTGTTGGCATGTCAGTGGTTCCATAGTGTAGAGGTCATCACGTCTGCTTTACACGCAGAAGGTCCTGGGATCCAAACCCAGTGGAACCAGTCATTATGTCTGCTGAGTGGTAGATCATCATGGTGTGCTGTCACCTGAGAATCCCCCCCAGGGAGAAACCCAGTGTTGTCACTCCTGGTTCGCTGCAGGTCTTTGCATGAAGGGTTGCTGAGTTCACGGCTTGCATGCCGAATGTTCAACCTCCACGTATTCTACATTCACATACGTGGGAGTCGGCCGACTGAACTGTTCTTCTTTGAGAACAATGCCGTTCCAGGCCAGGTGTAGGTTTCAGACTGTACTGGTTACCACATGCTGCAGGTTCTGGGTTCCTACATGACATGTGTCAAACATTTACAGACTTCTACGGCTGTTCCAAGTAAGGTTTTCTTGTCCCAGATTATTATTCTGAGTGGTTGTTGGATTGCTGTTGTTTTTCAATCTTCCACAGTGGAGACATCTTGGCGGTGTCCTGACATGAACTGTCCTCCTTCCAGTCCGATAGAGGGCAAACATGAACCTTTAAATTTACGCTTCAAAACCCAGTGAAGCTGTTACAATACATTTGCTTGGTGTAGATCTTTTCTTAGGTTCAATCCTCTCAGGTTGCGTTTTTTGATTTCATGTAGGTTCCACAGTGTGGTGGATGTCCTGTCTGCTCAACAAGCAGAAGGTCCTGGGTTCAAAACTCAGAGGAACCGGTCATTTCTGAGCCTCTCTAAGGACAGTGATGGGTTTAGTACAGCTATGTCAGATATTAACGCTCATCAAATACCAACATTTTGCGTGATTCTTCTCCATTTTTAACAGTCGTATCGTACTTGTTTGTCCTTTCATATTTATGCAGGACACTGATGTATATTTCAGCTACCAAAACAATGACAGAAAATATTGGTTGATCATTTTTAACTAAGAACTAAATACAAAATAGGTTTTCAGGACCTACAACGAAAATGTTTTTTGTCAGTGAAACAATCCAGATTACCTTCTGAATGAGCTGCTGCTCAGTTAGCTGCTAACGCTAGGTGAACAGGACCAGTGGTTCTGGTTGACCAGGATATTAGCCGGCATGTGGAGTGATAATCCACAGAAGTGAACTGACTGGCTAGACGGGAAGACTCAGTGACCCATCGTTCATGCCACGGCCCAGGTCTCACCCGAGCATGCTCAGTCTTGCCTGGGGCCTTCCTGAGCTATCATCTGTCCTGGGTCCGTGGCACAGTGCTAACACAGTGCTGTAGATGATGCTGAAATGCTGCAAGCACATGTCTGTGGTGAACGGTGAGAGCAGGATTCAACATTCAGCTACACTCGTGTGGTGAAGTGAGAAATGTGTGCAACAGGGAGTCCAGCCTTGACCCGTTACACTCAAAGCCACATATGTGTCCTTGCTGGCCAGCTGCTGGGGGTCTGTGGGTTTGTCTGTAAGCCCCCCAGCCAGGGCAGGATAAGGTTAAAGCTATTCTGAGCCCGGCTGTCTGTCTCTGGGTGAAACCGTTTCAACGTACGGACCGACGGTATGGAAACTGTGTGTTTGACATGTTGGAAAATCCCCAGATCTTGGCTCCAGATCTGCCCATCAGGACCTGGCTGCAGTATAGAGAAAACTAGTTCTGTTATCATGTATTACTAAAATTAGTTATTACAAACTAGTGGTCATCATACAGATTTGTCTTGGTGTTTTTAAAAGTGGTTCTAATCATGTGTAAGGATCCGTCGCCTGCTCACGTCTGCACATTAACGCCATTGTGGCGTAAAGCTGAGCGTAAACGTCCGACTGACTCTTTGTAAAGCTGTTAATGCAGCGTCCACCGATTCTAACGTTGGAAAGGGGGTTCCAACGTCTCTGAAGCGATCTAACCCAATCTAACCAGCCCCTGACTTAAACACACCACAATGCTGTATATCTGTCCGTGCAGGAATGCCATCGGCCCGCGTTTATCGTCCTGTACGATAAAGTTAGCGAACACCTGAGTGGAGACTGATTTGGTTTCGTCTGGGTTGTGAAGTTTATAGGAGGATGCTGTTGCTGGTGTCAGCGTGTCGTTCTGTCCACTTCAGTCTGAATAGCTCTGGACAGCTGCAGACCGCTAGCAATGCTAACAGTCTGATAGCATCTTTAGTCCATTCTGACTGACTGTAGCCAGAACTGTTTTATGTTAGTTATTGGTCCGCCACAGTTTCATAAAGAACCCAAAACATTTCCTTATGATAACAGAGGATCTGTTTTGGACCAGTACCAGTCTGACAGTAGCCTGTAGGCCAGCGGTCCGGTCTGACATACATACTGCAGGTAACAGCGTGTGCGTTGGGTGAAGTGAGGTGATAAGAGCGTTTGTCATGCTTGGAATCAGAGCTGGATGCCTCGACTTCAAACACTGTTCTGCTGCCAGCTCAGCAGAACAGGGTGACACTCCGGAGCAGCTGCACCCCGGGGTGCCGGCTACACCCAGGGTGTGTTTCCTCACACAAAGCTGTGAATGCAGACATGTTTCAGTTCACCTCTGACTGATTTCTTACATGACAGAAGTGGGTCTGGTTAGATCTTAGCATTGTTTCTATGGCGGGTATTGAGAGAACCTTAGTCCAGATGAACTGCCGTCCGTGATTCAGCGTTCCCACATAGCGCCGCCGGTCGGAGGTCAAAGGCGACATGTCTGATTTGTGACAGGTCTCAGTGGAGATGGGAACACGAGATGGACGTTTCTTTGAATGAAACCAAAGATGAAAGAGAGCAAAAGAAGTCAGGTTTTGTCAGATGCAACCTTTGTTAGAAGCTCTTATGGTGCCACATGTGGGTCAGACTGTTTTAGCAAACAGACATCTCAGAGATGAACCAGCCGTACAAAGACCGACTGCTAATGTTCACTTCTTGTGTCAACGTGTTAAATTAAACAGTGACAGACATTGGTGTCAGCATTAGGATATTAGGATGTATTGTAGTTTCTAAATAGTTCTTCAAAAGCATTCTTAGCTCCATCGGCAGTGCAGCTGTTGGGATGAATCCTGATGACTTTGGTGATTTTTCAACACAAGCTTGTTGAATGTTGACCTGATGGGATCGATGGCCGTGAAAGTTGATTCCCCACCAGTTACCCAAACTCTCTGACCTTCAATCAATCAGGTCAAATGTTTAGTTCGTCCTGTGGTTCATGACAAATAATCAAATACAGCACAAGATGATGAAGATGCCTTTAGTTTTAAACCTGGCACTTATGACCAATGTTTACACCTGAATTGAAATTTAGATGAAACTATTAAAGAAAAGCTTTCATAAAGTAATTAAAATTCATCCTTTGGGAACCGTTATGTCTTCACAAAGGTTCCCTACAGTCATGCCGCTAGCAAAGCTAATACCAACACGTGTATTTGACTCATTAACCAGCGGGTCAAAACAAATGTAAGTCAAACTCAACTGTCTTCTTTCTCCGTCTAGACTTCCCTCCAGGAGTGTCTGAGGTTGTTAGAGGAAACATTTCCCTTCACAGACGACGACCAGGTACTGCCCACAGCCTCTAGCCGTTCTTGTAGGACACTGTTCTGTCCTCGGCCTTGAACAGGACGTCACTGTACTCATGTGTCTTCTGCTTTGTCCCTCAGTTAAGTGATGCTGATGGCAGGCAGGAGTCCGAGTCTTCACACAGGGAGCCCCAGCTGTCCCCCATCATCCCCACTGGTAACCCCTCCTTGGACCTGGAACTGGACTGGCAGGACCTGCTGTCTATCATGGACCCTGAGGTGACTGGGACCATGACAGATTAAATTATACTTGCCAAAACACAATCTGAGGAGATAAGAAGAGAAAGGCAGAACACATTAAACTGAGAGTTCATCCCTTTCTTTCCCCCAGAACACTGATGTGGACATGACGGCATCATTTGAAGACACGCTGGATGTAAGACCTTCTGGGACCTTCCGAGGTGTTGGTTCTGAAGCTCCGCCCCAGAACTCCAACAGCCTCGGCAGTGTTGTAACGGAGGCTGATCAGGCGCTGCTTCTCATGGATGCGCCGCCGCCGCCGCCGCCGCCGCAGCAGCAGCAGCAGCAGCAGCAGCAGCAACAACATGGTAAATCAGTTCACACACTGCAGAACTGAGCTTGAATCTTAAAGCTTTTTGTGATTGTGGAAGTTAAACTTCACAACAAAGCTCTCAAAAAGCAGTATTTATTTCTTAGGGATTCCAAAGCTTTAAATCTAATTTGATGGGATTGCATTGAAGGTCTACCTGCACTTACCTAGCCTAGCAGGTATTAAGGACAGGTCACAAAAAGCTAACACTTGGCTATAAGCTCTGTCAGAACATGGTACCACTTCATAAGACATATTCAGCTAAAAGATAAACTATTCAGAGAGCATAATCCACCGTCCAGGCCACGGCTCCTTTGGCCACGGCCCTCTTCTCCACCAGATCTATGCTGATGGACAAACAGCCCTAAAATCATACCTGCACATGTCCTTCATTTCTTGTCCAACAGCTGTGTTTTTCTTTTTCCTGACTGTCCTGTTCATGATTGCACCAAACGCTCTCCATTCTTAACATTTTTCAAAAACGCCTGCTCTTCGTCTTCAGGTGTGTTTGGACCTCAGAACCAGGCAGAGCTCGAGCCAGCCCTGCTTCCCCTGACCCCCAGTGCAGAGTTGGATGACCACAGTTCAGCACTGAACACAAGGCGCACTCTGGAGAACCCCCAGGCTGATCCCTTCCACCGTCCTCCAGACCACACAGATCTGCTTGCAGAAGATCCTTCAGAAGACTTTGGCCTGGGACTAAATGCAGAAGATAACCCGAGTACCTTCAACATGAATCTGCTAACACAAGAACCTGTGGACAGGATGGAACCTGAAACCCTTCCTGGCTTTGATGTGAACTTTAATTCTTGTGACCTGACACCTTCCAGTTTTGGTCCATCTCTGGAGGAGAATGACATGACCCGAGACCTTCTGGCATCTCCTTCCGGCGATTTTCTGGTGGACGAGGAGGATGGTGAAGATGGTCTCCCAAGCCGCCTTAGTGACCTCTTAGAGGACGCTACTATATTAGATGAGATTAGACTGTTGGACCTGGCTCTAGAGGAAGGATTCAGTCCGGAGATGGCAGCCAGGCTGGAAGAGGAGGGCTACCTTGACCGTGAAGTAGCCCATCAGGAAACTGACAGAGATGATGACCACTCAGGCTCTGACATGGTGGTCACAGAAGATCAGGGTCAACCAGGAAGACATCAGCAAGGTAGTGTGTACTTCTTTTAAGAGCACACAAATTTAAATTTATCTGCACGTTTAAACTCTGACGCTTACCTTGAGTTTTCTTTGCTTCCTCCTCTTAGATGGCGAGAACGAGGCAGACTCAGACTCTGGTCTTTCTTTGGACTTCAGCCACAGCCCTGCTTCTCCAAGTGCTTCCGAGGCCTCCTCTTATTCCTCTTCCTCCTCGTCATGTTCCTCCTCCTCCTCATCCTCCTCTCCATCTTGTGCGTCAGCTGTAGGAAGTCTCTTCTCTGAAGATGAAGATGAGGATGATGAGGAAGCCTTCGTTGGCCCAGATATGGAGGTGGAGGTGACCATAAAGCAGGAGGAGATGGAAGAGGAGGAGATGGGCGCGGTAGGAGGAGGGTATCCTGGAGATGTGAACAAACTCATCCCATCCAACTACGAGGATCACAAACTGTTTCATGACTTTTCCTGGATGGAGCATATTGGTCATGATCACACATATAACCAGCCTCGGTCCCCCGAGTCCTCTCCGTACCTCGGAAAGATGCCCACCAAGCACACCAAACCTGCTCCACATCATGACACCAAGCCTTACCACCGCTCCTCGTCCAGACACATCTCCATGAGCAAAATGTGGAGCCGGGATGAGCGGCGAGCACAAACCCTGAAGATCCCTTTCTCCAATGAGCTCATTGTGAATCTGCCAGTAGAGGAGTTTAATGACCTACTGACCAATTACCAGCTGGACGAGGAGCAGCTCGCCCTCATCAGGGACATACGGCGTCGTGGTAAGAACAAGATTGCTGCCCAGAACTGCAGGAAGAGGAAACAAGACGTGCTGCTGGGATTGGACGGCGATGTGGCAGGTTTGAGGCGCCAACGTTCACGACTGCTCCGGGAAAAACAGGAAGCCCTGAGGAACCTGCAGGAAATGAAGCGACGATTGGGTGTGTTGTACCAGGAAGTCTTTTCCAGGCTGAGGGACGAGGAAGGGAGGCCGCTGGACGCTACCGAGTACCTTCTTCATTTCGATCCCAGTAATACGGTCACAGTGGCGTCACGCCAACAAATGGCAGAAAAACCGAGCAAGAAACAGCGAGACAGGAAGAAGTGAGGAGGTGGACAAGCCAGGAACATTTCCACAGGAGATGTGGACACTGGAAAATGTAGAGACAGTAAAGAGTTTGAATGGGAGCCTGATCAAAAACACAAACATATGAAGGAGTGATGAGTCAGTGGTGAGTAAAGGAACACAGGAGGTGTCCTCATAGCGTCAACAGACACTCCTGGGTCTCCAAAACCATGAAACCCTCAAACACCCAGATTCCCCTGAGAGTAGGTGGAAGGATGGATGGATGGAAGAAGACAGAAGAAAGAGGAGTTCCTTAAAAGGGGATCTGACTGACATTGATGATAAGGCAACCTTTCCTCCAGGTTGTGTCGCTCTGCTCCTCAGTATGAACCTTTCAGACACTGGAACAATACTTGAATTCAGCTCTTGTTAAGCTCTAAGGTAAACAGCCGATAACTGACCTGGGACCAGCGTTCTAAGATGCTAGTCCAATGCCTATGCAAAGTCCTGATTTTAAAGAAAAGCTAAAAAACACTGAGTCGGACACGGCAACGAGTCGAAAGCAGGATAGATCCCGAGCCAGCAGGGACGAGTCGCTGGTCTGCAAGAAGGGAAGACGAGGAGCTGGTGCAGGGTCTCAGTGAAGAGGTCGGGTCAAAGGGGGTCAGTTCAGTCTCCAGAAACAAACCCTGCATTTCACCAAAACACCAAAACATTTGGTACCGTCTCCAGGAAAACCTTTTTAAATTGGATCCATCATGGCAGCGTAGCGGGACTTACACCCTACTGGTAACAGCTCCACTCCAGCACTGAGCTGACAAACAGGCATCAAGGACAAGCTCATCTTTAGGTATAAGCTCTGTCAGAATGTGCTTTGTAGGATACATTCAGCTAACTACTCGAAGAGCACAAAGGATCCTTGTTTTGGCCATGGCCCACCTCCTCGCCATGTTTCAGGTGTAATATTACTTACAGACATACCTGCACCTCGGTGGGGCAGCATCGTGCTCATGGTGGATGTATGCTGAGGACAAGGCAGGGCTTTGGGTCATCCTGCATCAGTGTTATGCAGCATTTAAAGGGAAAGCTGTTAAAGGCTTTGTTGGTTTGTGGATGACAGACTGCAGTGGACTGACAGAGAAACACACTTTACATACAAGCAGTGCCTGTATTTCTCTGTCACATCTTTAAAACTGACATAAGTTGTTAAGCTGACATGATTGTGCACAAAAAAAAACACCTTCCAACTTCAGGGCTGCTGTCACCCTCTGCTGGCTGCGTCCACAGCTGAGGAGGACACACCTCAGAGATCAGCGCAAGGTCTACAACCAGCTCCATGATTGTTTACTCTTTTGTGTGTTACTGGGAAAGTGGACGAGGATTTTCTCAGGAACAGCCAGAGGGGCTGCTGCTTTCCCCTCAGAAGGGCTTTACCTATACAGTCAAATCACTGGAGATCAAATGATGTCATTGTTTAGGATCATTTTTAGCCATGAAGCTGTCATGAAGCAGGTGTTCAGAGCTTCACCTGGCAGACAGAATCCAGCCGCTCTGTTTGTCCCTGCATACCAAAGAAAAGCAGTGAAATGACACCAAATGTTTGAACTGTTTAACCTGCATGCAGCAGTGGTGGAAGAAGCTTTGGTTAGTCGTTTATATCTTGTGATTGTCCAACGTTCTTGCTGGTATTCAAGGACTTGGCCTCATCGTTTGTAATACAAAATAAAAAATAAAACATTTCTTTGTCGTGGGTCTGTTTTGTCTCAGGCTGCTGCTGCCGAGATTCACTTTGGAGGCGACAACCTTCATTATCTGTGCAGTCCTGAGTTTCCAGTTCATCCAGTTTGAAGGAACATAGAGCTGATGTGGAAGCAAGTCTCTCTCACCACATCTTCAGATTTAAAAATCATCTCATTTTCAGCACAGATTTATTATTATTTAATTATTGTTCTCTCCAGGTTCTCCGGCTTCCTCCCACAGTCCAGAAACATGCTGAGGTTAATTGGTGATTGTAAATTGTCCGTAGGTGTGAATGTGAGTGTGCTTGGTTGTCTGTCTCTAAGTGTAGCCCTGTGATAGACTGGTTACCTGTCCAGGTGAACCTGCCTTCACCCTGAGTCAGCTGGGATAGACTCCAGCCCCAGATGATGGATGGATAAAACAAAGTATTGAAGTTATCCAAATTTAGATCATTAGCTTTCAGTTTAAACCTCAGATTAAACAAAAACAAGCGATCAGGTTCGTCTAAAGTCAAACCAACATCCAACCAGTGAAGCTACGCCCCACTGATCATCTGACATGAAGCCCAGAACTACAAGAAGGTGGCAGGAGTGAATTTCAGGAGGGTCCAACTACAGCAACTCGATCTCCCTCCTCTCTCAGGCAGGTACCACCTTCTGGTTGGAGCATATATACATCAGTATACATGCTGCAAATATTAAAGCTAAAATACTGGAGTACAGATACAAGGATGAAGTCCTACATTTCCAATTAGGATGGAACAATTGAAAAACTTTGCTTTTCTTGGGGTCACAAACTCATCACGTTTACTTTACTTGGCTTGAAGGCACATGTTGGTTATTAAAACACACGACCTGCTGGCTTTGGCTTCAGAACACTCAGAGCTGTGGGAGGTTAAACTCTCAACCATCAAAATGAAGACGGACTCACTGAGACGCCAGAGAACAGACGAAGGTACGAAAACAAAAACCTTTATTGTCTAAAACAGACAATTAAAAGTAGATCAGCTATGACGGTAACATTGCAGGGAAACCAATAAACATGCAACAGGACAACACAAGCTAATCCGCTAAATACAGAGAAAAGGTTCCAAGACGAGATAGAAAAGCTAAGAAGCAGACCTGGGCGCAGCCGGTCCAGTCGCCTTCTGTCCCAGTTCAGGGCGTCTCCCTTTAATACTGATGGACAGGATGCAGGAATGGGACCAGCTTCAGGAGCACCAACGTGGGCAGAAGTAGCTTAGAGTCAGAGGCTCCACCTAAAACGCTTTAAAGCTGAGCCGACACGGTTCTATCTGCGTATGAGGTACTTGGGTAGGAGTTGTGATATGCTTTCCATGAAACCTGCTCCGTTCGTTCATCACCAAGAGTTAAGGCTCGTTAGAAAAGGTAAATGTTTAAAATTTTACATGCCAGTGTTGCTCAGTGACTGACATTCTGAGGAGAAGCTGGACAGTCGTGGAGCTGAAATATTCACAATTTAATCCATTTGAAGCTAAACGTCAAGTAACTGTTCAGAAGAGAAGGGGCTGGACCGGCAGACCCAGGCCTGCTAACAGAGGAAGCTACTATGCTAACTTTATTACAGTATACAGAGAAATACACACAGCCGGGCCACACTCAGCACAGAACCACGCTGGAGGCGGAGGAACACCAGGATGATGGGACTGAAAACTAAACCTGCATCTGGTTTATTTTCACAAATATCAGAGTGTGTGTCGGACAGAGAAAGCTCTGCAGCAGGAGGAACCAGGAAGTGCTGCTGTGCTGAGTGTTGCCGGGCCGTGCACGCTAAAATAATACAGTCTAGAAAACACACGTGTGGCAGTGTGTGTGTGTGTGTGTGTCTGTGTGAGTGTGTGTGTGAAGTTCTGAAACAAGGGAGTGAAAATGAAGACATACTTTCAACCATCTGCTCCGTCAGCAGTGAGCCAGCGGTGTTGGTTACAGAGCACGTATCTACAGAGACATGAAGGAAGCCTCAGCGCCACCTAGCAGCCACGTGGCAGCACCTCTCTACATCTCATCCATCAGCCAGACAAGCTCGTGGGCCAGCGTGGTGCCGACAGGCCCGGGAGAGGAGATAAACGTACGGCCAACACTTTGACGCATGCCTGCCTTTCTCATCCCCAACGCTGCGCCGCTACGCTAACAGTCTGATTGATTTGGCACGCTGCAGGACAGTTTGGGGCAAATTACAAGTTGATTCTCAAAGTTCAGTTCAATATTCATGACAGATTCAGACTGGACACTATAAGGGGTCAGAAGAACGACTGTCACACGAGGACGGTGGGAATTTGTCAAACCACTGATACAACAGGTGAAACCCGGGTCAGGCTACGTAACACGTACACCAACCTGCACCCGTCGCTGTTAGCTAATCCGTTGTTCCAAATCACGAGTTTTATCTGAAACTGATTCATTATTCAGCACAAAGTACAAACAGACACTAACCGACTTTGATTAAAGAACTGCCTGAAACCCGACGTGTCGGAGGAACCGGTCCAATGGGAGCTGACGCTGGAATACATTCATGTGATTGGCCGTACTGAGAAGTGTGGGAGTCTGAGAATCCCCGGCGCTGTGAGACCGCTAGCTGCCACGCTGGCTGGTAGGACATGTAAGGCCCCTAGCTGGTGGTGTGTCCATGCAGGCTGCATCCCGCCGCCGCCGCCGCCGTCAGAGCGAGAAGCACGGCTGTCGTTTGGTTGTCGGAGAGTTTCGAATGAACAGTGTTTTGTCAGCAATGATGAGAAACCATGTGGCACAAAGAACAGATACTGAAAGAGACGAATGGTTTCCGTCCATTCTTCCACCTCTCCTGAACACCTCGCCCCACTTCACCCCCCACCCCTCAAAAGAAGCTCCCGCTACGTATCCCAACGGAGCAGGAATGGAAGTCTGTCCCGACCGAGCCGCCGCCGATTCACACGAACGCACGTCTGACGGAGGTAACTGGACGCGTGGGAGACTCTCTGGTCGCTACGATGGATTCACGTCGGTATTCAGCGCCACACGCTCGGCAGGAACACTATGAGAACAAAGGCACCGATTCCCATCAAGTCACACGTTCTTGGTGAGGGGAAACAAACACAACAAAAAAACACAACATACTTCTTTAAAAGAATTTACATTTTCAATCGAGATACAGGCGGGAGCATCTTTTGAGGAATCCTTGCAGGGCAGGAAAACAAACTACTTTTTCCCCCTCCGTCAGCTACGGCGGCCATTTCTCCACCCAACACTTTCAAAGCGGCCGCGAGAGTCGACTAGCCTGGACAACAATTCAGCGGTGTGTAGTTGATTTCCTGCCCTGCACCTCCACACTTCCTTTCTTTTCCTCTTTGCCCTTCCTCCTTCTCTATTCATCTAGTCCTTTTTGTCCTCCTCTTTCTTTTCCTCCTCTTCTGTGGGGTAGGAGTGCCATGTGAGGCGCTCCTCGTAGAAAGAGATCACCACCTGGGGACATTTGACGTTGGCCTCCTTGGCCGGGACCAGATCGGCTTCGTCGGAGTTCTTCCTGTCGGTTGGAAGTAAAACAGTCAGTTTAGAGATCGATGGTTTAATCCAGGGGTGTCGACATCCGGTCCTCGAGGGCCGCAATCCTGCATGTTTCATTCAAATGATCAGGATGGTTATCAGACTTCTGCAGAGCTTGATGATGAGCTGATCATTTGAATCAGGTGTGTTGGAAGAAGGAAACATCTAAAACATGCAGGACTGCGGCCCTCCAGGACCGCAGTTTGACACCCCTGGTTTAATCCCAGTATTAGAGGCAACAACATCGCTGCAAGTTTAAAATAAACACTAGTCACTGTTTTCCACAGGGAGGAGTGCTGCTACAACCTCTGACCTGTCTGTATTCAGCACATCCAGGGGTCACTTCATTAGGTACACCTGTGCAGACTAATGCAGAGGTAACACATGTACAGACGTGACTCAATGATC